ACTGTTCCAAAATTTTCCACATATATTTCATGGTATCTTCAAAATGTTAGGTACAGCAGAAAACAAAAAATATATATCATATGAGCTATACACTGAGTATCATGTAGCTTAAGAGATCTGTTTGCCCAAATTTCCCAAACTCATCAGAATGGAGGCTGAAACTCAGGACTTAGAATTCTCAGTTCAGTGTTTTGTGAAGCAGAATTGTATAATAGAAAGCACAAGCTTCAAAACAGGTATTCCTGGGATTTGACTCCTAGGCCCCTTGCTAATTGTGAGCTGTGATATCTTGGATTAGTTACTTAACCTTTCTAAGCTAAAATCCAAAAACCCAAGAAAGATTTCAGACAATCAGTAGAGAAACCTCCTAGACAGAAATGGAAATACATCTAGCTTTAGTTCATTATTTGGATTCAGATGGGCATCTTAAATCCAGGATCTCAGGGAGAATAAAAGCAATTATAACAAGGCAAAATAAAATAGGTTCTTTATACTCAGGTGGGGAACTGCCAAGAAGCACCTCATACATTTTTAAACATTCTCTATTACTATTCTAAACAGTGTTCTGTTATGAGCACCTAGCAGTTCTTTCCTGGTTAGAGCTTTTCTTTAATCAAGCATGCCCTTCTTGGCTATTACAGGCTTCCGTACCACTTATGAGCCTTGGCTTCCCTGGTGGGGCGAGACCAAGACCTGCCCCCCTACCCCCACGCCCCCCACAGCAGCGCCTTCCTCCAGATTTTCACCTGAGCGCCCTCCTTGCTTAGTCTCCAAGTCAGAATCCCCTCCACAATTCCGCGATGCTTTTCAATTCCCATTCTTTTCCTGTATCTTGAAACATTCTCACTTTCTTCAAACTACTCCACACAACCTTCAGCCTAACCTGTAGAATCTGTGCTGGACACTTAGTGAGGCGCTTGCTACAAATCACTTCATTTAATCTCCACCAACCCTATAATGGATATAATGGATATGTTATTACACCCACTATACAGGAAACCAAGGTTGAGAGTCAAGGGTTGGTGACTAGTCCAGATTCCCACCTCTGGGAAGGGATGCCTGAAATCAGCTCGGACCCTAAATTCTGAGCTTTTTTTTTTTTTTTTTATTTCAGCATATTATGGGGGTACAGATGTTTAGGTTATGTATGTTGCCCTTGCCACCCCCCAAGTCCGAGTTTCAAATATGTCCATCCTTCGGATGGTGCGCATTGCACTCTTTGTGTATGAAAATACCCGTCCCCTTCTCCCCCCTCCCCCCTGCCCAACATCCAATAGATGTTATTCTTATATGTGCATTTATGTGTTTATCAATTCTGAGCTTTTAACAGCTCTGCTCTGCCAGTTCCCAGGCTTCTTTCTGCCATCAGATAAAGTGCATTTTCTCCTTGGAAAAGCAGAGCACTGATGAATGTGTTTACTGACTGACTAGCATGTGCAAAAAGCGAGCACGTGCTATTTGACCAGATGCTGAGCTGCCGAACTGTGTCTTTGCTTTGGTCCAAAGTCTTAACAATGCTGTTTTTCCTACACCAAAAACTCCTTGAAGACACAGGCTTTATCGCTGTAACACAATCTTCCACAAGAGCACTTAACAAGTGGGTTTTATTCAAAACAAACAAACAGATCGGGCGCAGTGGCTCACACCTGTAATCCTAGCACTCTGAGAGGCCGAGGTGGGAGGATCGTTTGAGCTCAAGAGTTCAAGACCAGCCTGAGCAAGAGCGAAAACCCATCTCTACTATAAATAGAAGGAAATTAGCTGGACAACTAAAAATACAGAAAAAATTAGTCAGCGGGAGGCTGAGGCAGGAGGATTGCTTGAGCCCAGGAGTTTGAGGTTGCTGTGAGCTAGGCTGACACCACGGCACTCTAGCCCGGGCAACAGAGCGAGAGACTCTGTCTCCCCCCAAAAAAACGAACAAACAACAAAAACCTCAGTTAAAACAGACTGGCAATTACTGCTCCCCTGGAAGGCGGAGGCAAGACGGAAGGCTTATCTGTCGTGCCTGAGACAGTTGCGATATGCCTGAAATGTGGCCAAGCTACATGTCTCAGCTCTCGGCATCTGTTCCACTTTCAGCTGTTTCGTCCTATTGCCCCATTGTCGGTTCACAGTTGTCAAACTGTGTGTCCCCAGTCCATGTTTGTAAAATATGCACATGGCACCTAAAAATAAACTTCTGTTTAAGACAAACAAACAAACCTGGCCTTAGTTTCGAGGTGTTGTATTTTTGAAACTTGTCCCCAAGGCTTGTTTCTCTGAGATCTAGGGGATTCTTTTTCTTTGCCTCCATGCAAATCCTTTAAGCCTGCGAACACTCCTCTGCACAGCTCCTGGGAGTGTGGGTGCTGCCACCCATGTGGCTCCCGCTCCTGGGCCACTACCATTCAGCATCCAACTGTGACTGAGCCTCTAACTTTCCAGTGTATCCATTATTAGGACCTCCCTCTCTCTTATTTTTTCTCTTGCTGCCTACCCTTTAAAAACTCTTCTTTTCACATCAAAAGTCAGTTTGATATTTAAGCTATTTTAGAAAATTGTCTGAAAATCATTGCCCACCTCCTTTTTTTAATGGAGAGAAGAGAAAAGATGGAATATTTGGGTGTGGTGGCAATGGGGAGAGTAGGAAGGGGGAAGTGACCAGAGGGGATCTTATGACATCGACCTGGAAGAATCCACCTTACTGGCTTCAATTCTCCCTTCTACCCGAAGGACAGTAACCAGTGGGCCCTCTCTGGAACCGCACTACACCTAAGGCTCCACCATTTCCTATCTTTGTTAATGCTCTCTTGTCATTAGATTCCAGCACTGCCTGGTTGTGAATCAAGTGATGGATCCACTTTCATCAGATGACGTCTCCCACAATGCTATATAACAGAGGAGAAAGTGAAGGATAGGAAGATATATGAGACCTTAACAAACTTCATCATTTTCTTAAGAGGCAATAGAGCACTGGCCTTTGGAGCCAGCAACCAGTGTTAAAGTCCTGGCTGCCACTTACTAGCTACAGCACTTTGCATATGTTATTTAACCTTTCTTAGCCTCAGTTTCCCCATCTGTAAGATAGAGCTTAAAAAATACCACTTAGCTCACTGGGTAGTTAAGAGTATTAAATAAGATATTGCATACACAACACTAAGTGCCTAACATATGGTGCACACTCTCAAAGCACCTAGGATACACTGGTGAACAAAAGAGTTCAGTCTCTCCACATGGTCTGCATCTTACCTCATATTTTTATGTTGATGCTGTGGATTTGTAAGAGGGTAGCAGAGAGAAGCAGCCAACCAGTTTAGGCATAACCTTTTCTACTGGGGGGAAATAATATGGGCTGCACAATAGCCCACATGAGCAAAAATAAATTATTTTACCTGTTGTGCTCTCAAAATAACTTAGTTAGATTTAAAATAAGTGTGCTCTCAAAACACACTTATGATTTTAAAATCTGGGCCTTATCCATGTTGTCATTCTTTCGCTGCAATATTGTACCCTCAAAATACCACTGTTAAAATAAAATATAATTTGCTAAGGATAATGATGCCTAAAAAAAAAAAAAAAGAAATCTACCTGAAGCAAACCTCAATGGGTTTTGCCATGGTCAGTCTACATTTTCCATTTGGCTTAAGTTTATGCCACGTCCCTTAGTATGGGCTGTTCATGCCAGCATTTGTTTTCTACCATCTGTACCTGCACCCATGTAAATGGACACTGAAATTTCTCCACTTAGCACTTTCAACTTGACCTTTCACAGACGGAAGAAAGGGAAGCTCTGAAACAGAAGCTAGTCGTCTCTGCCTGCAGCCGACAGATGGCGATGGCGGTCATGCCAGGTTATTTTAGTCTCTGCTAAGCCAGCTCCACTGTGGTGGTTCTCACCTGGTCAAGTCCACGCTTGTGGTGTCTGTGCCAGGTTTTAAGGTATATACAAACATCATTGACTCCACACTATGTCTTTTAGTAAAAAGCTAAAGGCAGTTTTGGAAATGGTGATCAATATAAGATTGACAACGACAATCATAAAAACCCAAAATGATGAAAATGATACAGGTTGTACTTATGGTGAAATGAATCGTTCTAAGATATGAATGACTGCAAAGGACGATGCATATATGAGAGGTGCTGTATCTAAGCAATGCACAATAATCAATAAAGCAAGAACAAATAACTGAAAACACGTAAAAATACCACGTAACCAAACTTAAAGTATTTAATAAAACACCACTTCTGCAGTTAGAGAATGAGCATCAGTGTCAGATGCTAATTAGTCATACAACAATTGATCTAACATTAATGCAGGAGAGGCTGGGATTTATTGGAGACTTTAAAGCAGTGTTGTCAGTCTTAACCGCACACTGGAGTCTCCCAGGGAGCTTATAAGAATCCTGAAGGCAAGGCCAGGCCAGGCCAGTGACGAGATTTCCAGTGTGTGACCAAGCTCAAGAACCAATGCCTTCACATCTAAGCATAAGGAAAACGAGGTGGCTAATGGTTCCATGGGTTAAAATCTATCTGAACGGGCAGATCAGTATGTGTGAGGAGCATGGATATCTCAGCAAGAATTACTTCCCTATGACACTTGTCTCTGTTTTCAGGAGAGAAATACCCTACCTCAGGGGATTTTTCTTTTCATATTCTTGAAACCAGTATGGGGGAAGTTATGTATTACCAAGGAATAATGGAGCATGCCTTATTTTAAAATTTTGAAGGTGCTATTTGAAGAAAATGTAGCACAGAGCTATAAGCACCAACATCTATCTCTTAGTCATGTCAGTGAGTCTATTTACAAACAAACGGACACACGAAGCTATTGAAATCTGTAGGAGCTTCTAGATACCAGCAGCTTTCCCTCACTTTCATCTTCACATGATTAGACTAATGCCTGGTCTATCTACTCTCCCAATGCGTGCTGGTTCCCTTCCATCATTAACCACCAAGATTGGATTAAAACAAATATAACAACACAAGCCCCCCGCTCTTGTCGCTGCAGCCCCTGTTACCTTATCTGCCATTATCATAGAGGAGCCCCCGTGGATTCCCAGGATGGGGGTGAGAGTCTGGGCTGAAATAAAATCGAGGATCTGGGCAATGGCTTCCTGATCTGTGTCGTCAGCAAACACCACCCCTTGGATCTTCCGGTCAGACATGAGGTCACAGATGCGGGTGATGATGCTCTTTGGGTCGGTCTCATTCATGGCTACCAGCTCCACCCGGGGCACCACGGAGAGATGGTGGAAATCATCTTTCTCGTGGGCATCCTTGATGGCCACCTCGTCTGAAGTGCCCACGAGGATGACAGCAATGCCAATGCTGGGGGGGCTCTTCTGAGAACGAGCTCTGCTGCCTGACACGGCCAGGACAGCCAACACCAACCAGAACTTGGGAGAACAGCACTCTGCTCTGGGCTTCATCTTCAACTCGTTGACTCCCTGAAAACACAAAGAGAGTGAGTGGTTAAAATAGGACCCACACCACATAACCTGTCTTTGAAGAGGCTGGATACCGCAAGTAAAGGACTTTATCTCCTTTCATGGATCATTGCATCCAACCTCTGTCTACTAGCCTAGTCTCTCATCTCTGGTGTTTGCTCAGTAGAATGAGAGAAAGGGAAACTTTCAACAGCCTCAGAAATCCTTGAGCAAGACAATAAAGGATGCTATTGCTATAGCCATCAGGAGATACAGAGACAAAAGAGGAAAAGTGGATGCAAGCGGTCTAGGTAGCCATGCCAAGAACACACACTCAGGAGTCTCCGGGAGGGGGCCTGCTGTTGCTACATGCCCCCTGGCACTCCTGCCACAACCCACCCTTGAACTTCTCTTGGGCCGAGGGAAAGCAGAAGCTAGCAACAGAACATGGCCCGGATACACCGGAGACAGGACACTGCAGGTACGTAAGCCCCACATTCCTGCTGCCCTCACCTCATGTTTGCCTCCAAGAGGACGACAGCCAGAAAATTCTTCAGTGGCCCTTTTAGTATCTGGCTCTTAATATTAAATCACAAGAACAACCTATACATGGGCAGTGCTTTTAAAAACATCATCTCAATTGATCCTTACAATAATTCAGTAGGAAAAAAATAAGAAAAATATTACTATCCCCATTTTATAGATGTTGAAGCCAAGGCTCAGAGAAGCTAAGTGATCTGTCCAAGACCATGAACCAATGAAGTCAACCTGAACCTAGATCTTCTGATTTTTGTATTCAAATTTGTATTCCATTGCATTATACTACACTGCCTCTCCTGCCATCTATTATTATAAGGAACAGTATTATTCTGATCTGTTTATACATCAAAACATGGGAACAGAAAAATAATTATTAACAGCTGCAGTAATAAAGCCACCTTTGAAATATTTTCTTTTTTTTTCTAATGGTATCCTATAGCGGTGACTTCCCTCAAATGACTGACTCCCTATTTGCATATGATTCACCACTTTTTACCTACAAAGAACTCCTGCCTTTTTAACCTCCACATATGCCCCTAAATCTTGCACTTTGTACCAGGCTAAGGACACAGTGCTCTACAGAGTATATGCCCCTGGTCATTTCTCTTTATGTTTCTCATCATTCTCCAAGAGCACCTCTTATTTTAACAGAATTATTTCTGCTTGTATTGCTTTGATTTGCTTTAAATAATCCTTTATTGTACATCTGTTATATGCTGTACACTGTGTTAGGCATTTCTTTACATTCAATATCTGTGGTCCTCATGGAAACTCTATAAATTAAACATTTTATTCCTCTTTCTCAAATGGAGAAACTGAAGCTCAAGACAGTTATGTAATTGCCCACGGTCCATGGCATTATAACACCAGAATGCCAATACATAAACACAGCATTTTTATATTCCGAGAAAATATTCTACAAACTGCACCCAGAACCCAAACCAGGGACTCTCTTTCTTCTACAAAGAGAGAGAAGATGTGATCAAGGATGAAAATGCTGCTTAAGTTCTCCTGCTTGTTTGAAAATCAAAAAAAAAAAAAAAAAGGTGAGAGGTTAGAAATCTAAAAACTTTGAGAATTTAGCTAACAGAAAGAAAACAAGTATTATGAAGTCACTGAATAAAGAAAGATAAAGCAGCATTCAGGCTAAGCAGTCAGTCTTAACCGCAAAGGGCATTAATGATCTGAGAGTAAGATGCTGGGGACATTTTTTGGCTGAAGAAGCACAAAATCCAATCTAGTTTTTGGCAGAAAACATTTTGGAACTCTAACCGTTGTAGTCATCCTTCACCACTGCCAAGAAGGAGACCTGTATCGATCGCCTTGTCTCTCTCCTGCGAATAAGACGAGCAACTCAGTGGTTCACGCCTGAGCAAAGTTTACTCCTGACAGTTTTCTGGTCTCAGTGTCTCTGTGAAAGCAGGAATGACTACACAAGCCCTGAAAACCCAAGCTGACTGGCTGTACCCAATCTAGCAGGTAAAGCGGGGCCTGAATTCCTCCTCCCAGAGCTGAAAGAAAAGCAACAGTGTATAGAGAGTGGAGCAGCAGTGAATATTCAGAGGAAGACAGATGAGTTTAGCATCACAAAGAGCTGTGGACAAAAAAAAATTATATATATATTTTATATATACATAATCTGTTCAATTCCAAGAACTGGTTCTCAAGAAGAACAAAAAGATTTGGAATTTGGCAAAACTCATGGCTAACGTCATTCCAGTGGGATTCTGATCCTGCAGTTATAAGTCACTAAATTAGTTTCTTTCACGTTTAAAAGTGGTCCACTCTGCCATGACAGTTTATTAACTTTAATGCACTCTACACTCTCCCACTTTGATGTTTTATTTGCCCTCTTCAAAATATCTCGTGTTCCTCTATCTCTTCTTACACAATATATATCATGCTTTGTTATGCAATGGCCAGTGGTGACGCTCAAAGAATAGGATCTGGTTTTACCGAGCATCTCTTTTATACTCAGAACAGAGCAAAGCACTTTACAGAGCAATACATTGCGGGAGATACCAGGAACAGAGGGACCGTGAGACAAACAAAGAGGCTGCTTTGAATACAAACTCAATTTCAAACGTTAGAAGGGGGTGAGCTGGGAGAAAGCACGTAGTCTAAGATAAGCAAAGTGGTTTTGCTCCCCTGCTCGTACGGGCCCTGATGAGTCTTGATGCACCTGCTCTGTGAAGTTTTGGCCTCTGCTGTCCCCCGCACCTCACCCTCCCCCGGCATCACTGAGCACTGCTTCCTTCTGGCTCTCACCACAGCCTGTATGTGTCTGTGTAACTACACGTAATGCTCTATTATAACTACACAATTATGTGTATGCCTACCCTAACTAGTTGATAACCTCCTTGTGAGCAGGGCCTTTTCAGTTTAGTAAGAACTTAGCACTTACTCTCTAGCAGATGTTGTTTTTGATGCTGAGGAATGCAACAGACACAGGCTCTACCCCTCAGGACCAGGGTCTAGCAGAAGATATAGACACATAAAGAATATGTTCTCTCATTTCTACTTACATTCTTGGGGTCTAACAGAGCCTCACATACAATAGGAAAGAATTCAGTAAATGGTAGCCAATATTGTGTTTCTACCATTAGGTGAAATCATATAAAATTGCTGACATTGGACCATTTTTGACTTGTAATAGTTCAACTTACTATGTGCCACACACTATGATTGCCAGGCAATTTTCATGCATTAGTAGATCCTCATAAAAACACTATAAGTGATAATTTTCCCCTACATGACAAACGAGGAAGCTGATCTTCTGAAGGGTTTAAATACATGGCCAAGATTACACAGCTAATAAGGAATGGCATCAAGTTCCAAACCCAAGTTTGTCTGGTTCAAAAGCCCTGGCTCTTTCCATTCTGAGACCTCTCCATATGAGTGGATGGATGAATGAATGAATGAAACCACCAAGCAAAACCATCTGGGGTTTTAATACCAGTTCCACATTAACAAAGTGCCCGAGGATGGGCAAGTCACCTAATTACTGTCTCTATTTCATCATCGGTGAAGTCAGGATAATATGCCTAACCTACATACCTGAAAGGTTTTTGTGAAGATCAAACAATAATATGTATACTGAAGTGCTTTGAAGAATATAAAATACTCTACAGATGCAAAAGATGTTACCTTTAAGCTTCTATAGAAGCTGTTCAAGGATCCTGGCTATTTATGACAGCACAAAGGGAGCACGTGGGAGGTGAGGGTGAGGGAATGGCAGACAGAGGCTGAGGGGAATGTTAAGAGAAACCGCACAGGGGGCAAGAGATATTAGTTCCCTGAGTGATATAACTCCCTGAAAAAGATGTCACACAGTAGCCTCAGGGAAGCAGCAAACTCCACCAACATTTTATCAGTCATGTAGCAGAATTTAGGAGTCATTCAGGCCAGGGCCAATATTGTGAATCAGTGAAGCTCAACATATCTACATCACACTAGGAATTCAGGCACCAGGGTGCACAAGCAGAACCAATAGCAAAGCAGCAGAATTACAGAGTCTACTGTTCACCTATTTGGCCTCAGACTTCTTGAAGCTTGGGCTGAGTGAGCCCCAGATCAACAGTAAGCAGAAGGCCACAGTAGCCCATCTTCATGCCTGTGACTGATGCAGAGTAACTATAATAGGAGACAGTCTACACTCTGCTCACAGCACACCCTAAGGGAAAACACATCTGGATAAGAAGCTGGGCCAACTCTGTCATCAGAGAAAACTGAGTCCTTTGGCAACCCCAATAGGAAGGATAAAATGTGATTTAATACATAATTAAGTCAGATTTTCCAAGCACCATCCTTTAATGCAGTCAAGACACTGTTTAGAGTGAACCAATTAAGAAGATTGTGATTGGAATATGATAGGCAGTGAGTAAAATTAAAAGTACTAGAACTATGCGTCAGGTCCAGTTTCCTAAGCTACCTAAAGAGAGAAAGCTAGCATACACAGGCCTTAAACTGTGTCACATTAGAGAGTGTGGGGAACAAGGAGTCTCATACAGTGTAAGTCAACTGAAATATAAATGAGTATAACCTTTTTGGTGGTCAAAGTGGGAATATCTATCAAAATTTTAATATCAAGACAAAATAAAATTCAAAGGCAAAAGCATCCAAAGGGACAATGGGGCAATGAGAGATGTCACTGGTACCAAGAAGGTACAATAATCGTGAACATATATGAAGCTAAAAATATACGCTTGACATAACAAAACAACTAAAATTTCCATGGGGAGAAACAGATAAATTCAACAGACAAAAAGGTATTATCAACTAAGACATAAAAGAGCAATTAAAAAAAAGCATGAATTAGAAGTTTGAATTAGTTCAGATACCTAGAAATACATATAGAACAGAGAATACACATTCTTTTTAATATTAAATCAAAAATAATGCATCAGTAAATTCTAAAGGATCAATATGAACTAATTGTAATTTTTCTATTATGTGATTAAATTAGAAGTAAATTTTTTTAA